TTTGAACCATGTGGCGACCTCTGGTTTGATGACAACATGACTATTTATCACTTGATTCATTACTTGATTCATTACAGTTTATTGTCTCTATCTCTAGTTTCAACTCTTCCTCAATACAGCATGATGTTCGCTCCATAAATTATGGTCCATTTAGATTCAAATAGACGCACAACAACTGAATGTCCACTTCTTAAATAGAGTCTAATGTTTGAACCAGGGCCCTTTGGAATTTCTGATGCAAGATTGTCAGGATGTCAGTGAGATCGGGAGGAGAATCTAAACATCCACATCTTCTGCAACAGTTGCCAACTGTCTTTACTCAATAGTCAAGTTTGTTTTGATCATTTCCATTTACTCTCATTCGTTAGTTCCATTCAGTCCCTTCTGTACATGCGGCTGCAAAGATTTTACAGCATTTCATTAAAACTTTACGTCGTCAGCAACACTTTCACCTCGATATCCACATCCAATGTCGTACTAACAGAAAGAAATGTCACAAATAACCCGTGTTGCATTCAACCACTCAGGTACCAGAACACTGTGCGTATGTGCATATGTGTGTGTATGAAACTGTGACGTCCTATTCTGCAACAGCAGCTTGATGATAGAGTTTGAGAAGTATGGATTTCTGTGACCAGTCTTTGTTGGCTTTGTGTGTCTGTGTGCGTGTGTTTGTGGTAATAGAGGGTTAGCACAGCCAGGTGACAGGGCCTGTAATTACAGCCAGCGAGACCAGACAGCCTGTCTTCTCCCTGAAAGAGAGAGACAGGAAAGACGAGAGGAGCCCCCCCCCCTACCCCGCCGTCCGTCCCCCCCCGCTGGCCAAATGGATGTTTGTGCGCCAGTATGAACACAGTCAATCGATTGTTGTCGCTGCCTTCGCGCGGTTGAACGTGGATGCTCGCAAAGCGCTCGAATCACATAATCTACTTTTTAAATACGGAAGGTCCACTAGTGTGCAGGTGTCCCCCAGCAGCGTCTCTGCAGAATGAATACGCCCCACGATTGGCTGATCTCTGACGGGCCGGGAGGCGTCGTAGACAAACCTTCGTCCAAACTTCCCAAACACGTGGCAAAGTGTGCGGGCAGACGGCTTGAAGTCATCGTATAAAACGGTCCTACGGTCCCCAAACGGATCACCTGTGGACGGACACAAAGGTGCACACTGATCATTGTGGGGGGGAGAGACCTGCATTCTTCAACATTGCTGCACTATCGGATGTTTGAGGGCCGTGTGATTGTTTATCATATTGAACATGTGTGTGTCTGTGTGTGTGTGTGTGTGTGTGTCTGTTACATCACAGAATCCCGTCGTGGAAACAAAGCCGTCAGAGAGCCGTCGTGTTTGTTGTCTCGTGTGCCCGACACTGCGTCCTCGTCGCTCTTGACACCACTAAAAGGGACGATTGTTTGATTGGCTGCCCTCCCTTCTCCGTCGGGTCTGTGTGGAGGTCCCGGCGGACCGCCTCCACCCTCTGACGAGGAATGGTGATCCTCACACCTCGGCATGCCGCCTCCACTCATTATTCACCCGAAGCCGTGTTCACAAAGACGATTCCCGTCTCCGCAGTGTGTGCGAGCAGCTTCCCGGTGCACACGCTCGTGTTCAATCCTTTGTGTGTGCAGGTTTTTGTCTTTGTCCCTCACGCTGTGATTTCCCTTATAAAGAGGCACGTGACTTACAGCGCCACACAATGCGGCTCTACACGGCCCATTACTGCACTGTAATCGACAGGAAACGATCATCCCATTAATAATTCATTGCTTCTAATCCGCTATGTCAGCTACGTGGTAAACAAACCATTAGCCCGTACAGATAGCGAACACGACGACTCCTAAATGCCACATTTTGCACTTTTCTAACCTGAACATTTAAGAATGTTCTCTAGAACAAACAGCTTCACTTCTCAGCCGGTTGGGCAAGATTATAGTTTCTCTTGTGTGAACAACTTCTTAAGTTTTGAGCTATACTTTTTTTGGACCAGACCGTTTGACGGTAGCGGCCCTCGCAAAACACCGGCCTGCTCGATGTGGCTGTAAGATCTTAAACCTGGTTTAGGTATGTGGATGCATTTAAAATGGCAAAGATGGACGAATTGACTCGTTTGTTGTTTAATGCAGAAAACACAAGGGCAATGAGGCATTTGGGGTGGAGGGGAGGGCGCGTTGCTTTTGATGTTGTGAAAATTATCAAATGATCAGAATAAATTGATGGAAGAAACAATGATCTTAATCCAACCGTAAACTAGGGATTTTATATTCATTCTATATACTCGATTTGAGACCAGAACGGACCCAGAATGTCACGTTACCACACAACGCAACTGTGTTGTTCATTACATTTTCAGGGTAACGCATCTTCTCCCAGCATCAAGGACTGCAGGAGTGGGTGTCGGGAGGAGGGACGGATCAAACAGGCGCAGGACCAACTCATGTCACATGACACACATGTCAAATGAAACCGTGATGTTCTACTGATCATTAGTTCTGTTGCTACATTCTTCTTTTGTTCTCTTTCAGAACCATAAACACATGTTTAAACATGCAAAAGTCATCTGGGAGAAAATGTAATTAGGAACGTATTTTAGTTTTGTAGCACAACAATTTTAAGGTGGCATTCCGAGCTTCAAGAGCAAAAGAAAAGGTTGAACAGCTCACAGGCCGCCTGTACCGATCGGATCGACCCGTGTGCGACGATCATTCATCGGCCTCGTTCACATGCAGTCAAGCTCAATTAGCTGAGTTCATTACGAAGGAGACGCCAATTGAGTGCAACAAACATGCATCTGGAAAAGGAGAGGAAGCCACACAGTCAATGCAGAGAAATACAATCCAACGCGCCGCCATCTAATTACTTTTCCCAACATGTAGAATCCTTTTCGCATTGTTTCCCTTTTGTAGCGACACGTGAGAGTACACACACTCGCACACACACATATTACATACAAGGAGGTGCTGCGGTAGCTGTGGAATAATTATAGTGGGATCAATGCAATGTTCTGCCTTCCCGCTGTCAGCCATTACTGGCCTAATAAAGACACAGAGAAAATTAACATAATGAACTAGGCTCCAGGCTTTGTGTATACACGCACACACACACACACACAGACACACACATCTGTGGAAATCAAATAGAAGAAACAACCGCCTTTGACACATACGTTGAACCTCACACACCCCCTCAGCACATTACAGCGTGTGTCATGCTTAGCCAACAGTTTTCGGAATTATCTTCTCCACTGCACCCACGGGATGCAGCTACACAATGAAACACACAAACGCACACAGTCGTCCACAGCCAACAGCTTGAGTGTGGGGTGCACCGGGTGTTTCCCGCCACTCCGATGGCGCCATAGCGGCTACTCGCACACATGTGTATGTCGAAGCTGTCAATATCAGTTTGAAGCAAAGTAAGCACACACGCACACAGACGCACACAGACTTTGTGTCTCATGATTTGAGTCAGTCTGACTGCAGCCTACACAGGGGTGAGACCTTCATTATATGCCTTGGCTTCTCTCTGAGACACGCACGGTGTAATGAGCGTGATCTCAGAGGGAGTGGCGGGCCGCTCCCCCCCACGCTGCGCACGCGGGGAGTCGGGCTGAGGTTCAATCTCATTACCGCGTCTCCTCTGCGCAGCGCGTGTGCGCTGCCAAACGCACCACAAGAGAGAGAGAGAGAGCGCGTGAGTTTAGTGTTCTTTCTCGCCCCCCCCCCCTCCTCTCACGCCGCAGTAATCATTCTGCTTATTATTAGGCCGCAGAGGTTATGTGTTCTCATTTAAAAAGTTACCGTCAAACTCTGTTTGCTGAGCCTGCGTCGTTATTGTCTCCGCCAGGAGCCTCCAACTAATAGCTCCGGTTCTTTGAGGTGAAGCGGGAGCGTCTTTAAACTTGCATTCTCTCTAACGAGCAGCAGGGGGCGAAATAGTCCGATTGGATGGAAGTCTATGAGAAAATGCCAATAGCTTTGTCTCAATCTATAGCCTCACTGCGTTGAACATCGTTAACGTGGGCTTGACGAGTGGATCTCACGCCACACTACGGGCCGATGTAGCCATTGAGGAAACACACTTTAAAGAGCAGCAGCTCTACATAGTGAGGTCAAACGTAGCATCGTTACCTGAGGCATAGGGCCACCGACCACACGGACTTCTTCTGGGCCTGGTTTCCTGAATAAAGGACTATTCTTTAATCTTTTTTTTTCTAGTAGCCTTATTCAAATAGATGTGGGGCTCTATGGAAGTGCACAGTTTTATCCTAAACATCAACTGATCCTTGACAACAAAAATGAGGAATAGCTTGAGGAACCGTTTAGGATAATACAAGTTTTCAAAGTCACTATGGCCCAATTCTTTTTTTAGCCTGTTTGCAATTTAGCACCTTTACCATGAAGCCAAAACAGCAATTAGCAGGTCTAATTAGCATTTTACCCATTTTCTCAAGCAAATTCCAAAGTCGGTTTTTAATATAACAAGTCTGTATTCCCAATGGGAATAGAAAATGGAAGTCCAGCTGCATTTAAACACGTGCATCGTGTATGCGTGTTCATACATGACAGAGTTTGGACTTCTTTTGATAGGGTTAAATACCTTATGGTGCTAGCAGGAAACCTCCTCCATCACCATCTGTTACACGTAGGCCGCTGCCAACCACCAGGGAGGATTGCAGCGCATCGAGAGAAGGTCATTGGCTGCAATCTGCCGTCCCTCCGCCACTCCAGGACCCTGATGAGGAGGGGGGGAGGGGATCGAGGCCGACCCCTCTCACCCTGCACGCAACCTGTTCCATCACTTCTCCTCTGGCAGGAGCCACAAAAACAGCTTCTTCCCAATTGCAGGTAGGGTCATCAACGGGGCCCCGGACCTCTCCGGGACAATCATGTACGCATCAGAACAATATGCTAATACCAATACACTTGATATTTCAACATTCAAAAAGATCCCAACAAATACATTATGAATACATAGTGTGGAAAAAAAGACACAGTGACTCCAGTTTCTTTATATATGCAGTTGACATTTATAGAGCTAATATAAAACCACTGTGGTACAGACCATTTATAAAAACTAAACCGTAACAACAACAAGATAAATAGTTGAGATTCCTGATCAGTAAAAAACAACTTGGTCCCCTTCCGGCGTCACAGATGAGGCAGAGAGTGACTGCTGATGCTGTTGGAAGATAAATGCATGTTTTATTGCTTTCACAACGGCACGCGTCCTCTGCTAGACGGGAGCTCTTTTACAGGCGGGACGTTTATCCCAGACAAATAAATTAAGTCTTCGGTTCAACACCCAGTGTAACCAAACCAAACTGTAGAATACCTCGGCCATTATGGAGGAGGCCGGGAGTATTAAGCCTGTAAGAATGTTACCCGCCTTGTTTCAGTGAGTGTTTCATTATCCCGTGACCTCTAACTGCGGCTTTGGAGGCTTTTATAGGAATACAACCCTGAGGGAATAATTGGGAATTGACACCAGAGATTTATGGGATTTTATTTTCAGCAGGAAAAAAAAAATGTAAACCTCATACCTAAGTCTTAAAATAAGTATTTGCCAAATTCATATGGAATCCCAATCAGTTCTGAAGTGTATAGAAGCGTAGTGATCCCGCTGGCCTGCTTCAATAGATTACTTCTAATATCGATACTGATTGGACACGCACTTAAAACGGAGGGAAATCTTTCCTTGTTCAACCTTGAACATAAACAAGGACCCATATTAAGTTTTGAAAGTATAATGGTGCCAATTCCCTGCTTTTGAATATGATGTATACAATTAAGGACAGAGAGAAATCAAATCCATATTGGTACTAGGCGGCGTAGTGACTGCAAAGTTAAGTAGTGAACAAGTGTATCTTGCCGGCAAACCGCTAACATGTTAGCCAGCGGGGAACATGCTAACGCTTGCCAATCCTGTGAGATATTTTCTCTGTATTGTGACATGCTGTTTACTCCACCGTGAAATGTCATTATCAAGAATTACATCAATTCATTCAATAAAGAGTTATTCAATAGGCGAAAAACAAGGTTTCTAACGACCAATTTCTTTAAGCTAGTTGCTGATGGGCAACACCAAGGAGGTTACGCAATGTATTGTTGCCATTGGTTCCTGTCTACTGTCAACTTCCCCTCCCGCTTCTGGGGAGGATTTAAACTCCAGCAGAGTCAAGTAGAAGTGGAATAGTGACATATCAGATTTGATGACTCACTCTGTGCATCATCAAATCTTCTTCTTGTTTCGCCCTTTGCAGCACTAACAGTCCTCCACGCCCCGCTACTTTACTACGTCGTGAAAGGATCAGGCTTAATGCACTTAGGTGAGAATACTAGCGGCGCACACTTACAGGCCGCTCCCTCTTCCCTCCATCAAGTTTACGCTTCCCCTCCCACGCGGCAGGATGTTGTTCCCTTTCGCTCGTGTCAAAACCATCACTGTGGGGGTTTTAAGTGGGAGCATGTTGACAACAAGGTTCTGTTGTGGTCAACATTGGATCACATTATGGGCTTCTTATTGTGTACTGCCAGTTAGGGCTGCAAAAACAACAATTCAAGCTTCATTGATATTGTTGATGTCTGAGGTGTTGCACAGTTTTCTGTTCTGATAAAGACTAGGTTACATACTATTAGTATGGGATTCGATGGTTGACCCACAACCTGCAGGTTGTTGGAGGTTTGGGAAGGGCAAATGTGACTAAGCAGCATTCCAAGTAATTAATGAAAAAAAAAAAGGTACAGAAACATTACATGCGGTACTCCACCTTTTTTTTTCTTTGTCATCCTCTACAACATCTCTTCAACAACACGCACACAACCTGCGCCGCCGCACTTAGTCCTGACAATCATACTACTATAAATCATTAAGTTGTCAGTTTGCAGGTTGGGTCGGGTTCGGGTGGCTGAATAACACTTATTAGTGCGGGTTGGGCAGATCGGCTTTCACAACGGCTCCGGTGAGTGCGTGTAAGAAAAAAACCTTTGTAAGATTGTTTCCAACTCAAGTGATCCAAACATTTGTATAAATCCTGAGCATTGTTGAATCCAAAAAACTCAACATTTATTTTGAAAAAAGGCCCAAATTCACATCATGTCTTATGTTATGTTACAAAATATTCTTCTTCAACCTATATTTGTTGGAGTTTAGTGCTTCCAAAACACTGCAGTCAGAAAACAGTTTGGTCTCCCACTTATATACAAAGGGAGATGCTAAATACACTTATATTAAATGGGTGTCTGGCAGCAATTTAACAGCACCATAAATTACATTTATAAAGCTAATGAAGACGAAGGTGATGAGGTAATGAAATATTATGACAGACGGAGACGCTGACATTTTATTGATTTATATTGAGTTCGGCCCTAACTGCCGCTTACTGGTGCTGGATGCATTCTGTGTGAATGCCGTTCCAAAGCAAGCATACGATGTCTTGATAAGGACTCACACACAAATACAGCGCCGTTGGGTTTGAGCACAGGGCGACTGGGGAGGGAAGGTCACAAGATCCTGCTGCTGTAATTCTAGTCAACAATGAGACTAAATGTGACGTTTTAAATACATGTGAAATAGAGTTTGAATAGCTGATATTAGGGAGAAATTCCTAAAAATCCATAATCATAACGCTATTCCCGTGTGATGAAGCACTTTCAAGCTCATTAAAGTCTTTTTTGCCTTGAGGAAAGTATTAACACTGGTGATGTGGGTTGAGGCCTGATTGAATACAGTAGCCCAGTTCAGACGGGACAGGTGTAATACAGGTGCAATGCTTGAGAGGATACGAGGTAAGAACGGATGTGGGGCCTCTGCTAGAGTGGTTTGGTGGAAGTTGACAAAAGTGAATGTCCGCCACGCGCCTGCTGGGTTTGATCTGGGTGCTCGTCTGTAAATGCGAGGACGCCGTGTCTTAGTGGTCTTGCGTAAGGATTGCGGTTGTTCTTATCACAACGCTGACGGGTAGTCAGCTGGTACTCCAGATGAACAATCGTGTGGTTTCTCTCAATAGCTTTTTTGACAAAGGTTGCTCGGTTTTTTAATTCTTGATTACATTATTGAACAATTCCATCCAAGGCTGACACGTGTCTGTTCAGAGATACAAGTGGCATTGACCTTTTGATCCTACGGGTAATGTCGGAGCGGCCCTTTAAGAATGGGACAGCTGGTTCAGCCAAAGACGGACGTCTTTTGTTGCAAAATGTTTCCAATTTCCTGGAAAGTTCTCAAGTTCTTTCATGTAACTGCCGTGAAGGAGTTTATCCTGCATGACTTTACGGTCGTGTATCTGTGTGTGTGTGTGTGTGTGTGCACGTGTCATGGTATCTGGAGCTGCAGATCCTCCTCCTCCTCGTCCACGTCGCTGGGCGGAACGTCCGGGTTTTCTGGGCTGAACCGAGTCGATCGCATCTTCCCAAAGAGACCGGGACTTTGCTGCTGCCGCCGCAGTCTGAGAGAGAGAGAGAGAGATGTAAAATTGTCATAACAGCGTAAAGATGTAACTAAAGGTGTGGCGGATTGGCGGTTCTGGAGACTGTTCCACAGCAACTGCCTAGAAGAGCGGGGACTTTATCCGATTTGTCCCCTAGTCGAAAAAATTCCCCATTAACTTGACTTCCAGGCGCCCCGGACCTGAACTCCCACTTGGACAGGTGTGGAAACAAGGGAGAATCTACCGTCAGCCGAGCTCCAAAACATTCACATGTGGGACGACCAACCGCCAACACAAATTCCTTGCATGTTTGACATGTTTTGGCAATAAATGTTTCCTGATTCCTGATCCTGATTGAATTATAGTTTGTTCCGTGTATTCTTAACATCAGTAAAATATCTTGTGCTTTTACTCCCAACCGAAAATGCCTCAGAAAACAGAAACATCCGATTCCACAACTACAAAATTCCGTTAAGCCAATTCCTCGCGGCTCTGACTGGACTTGTGTTGATCACCATAAAGCGCTCGTCTTATTGTATCTCTGACTGACTGGAGTTATGACTTTACTTTGAGTCCTTTGAGGGTTTCAGGGGTTCTGGGGATGCTTCTGTTACTGACGGATGAACGCTGATTACATGGCGGAGAGCGTTGGTCAGCATCATCAAAACAAGCTGGAGAACGCACCGCACTGGTTCCTGATTGCACATTGATCCACATTGACGGTCTTCAATTTACACAACGCGCGTATGTGCGTTGCCCTGGAAGGCATTTGCATAGCGAAGGCGGGATGAATGAACGGCACGTAGATGCAAAGCGGCAAAAGAATGTAGCAGGAGGCGTGTCCTCGTACCGAGCTACAGCCTCCTTTCATGGCCTTGCCTGTGGTGAGCAGTTGGCCGGTGCTTATGTCTGGTCTGCGCCGCTTTTGTCAAGGTCGAAAGAACTGACTACTGAGCCTCCGTGTTATTGTATCTTTAAGTATGTCCGTGCGTGGAGGATACCGACGTGCAGATGAGTTGCAGTTGGTCGGCTCCGTGCGTTGCACGTTGATGAAGTGGCGATTTGGGCTAAACACTAACGTCAGCAATAACTGAAGTCCTTAATCTGATGATGCCGCCAGATTTCAAGTTATTACTGTTCCGCCTGTGGGGGTGGCAGTGTAAATGTCTTGGCAAGCTTAGAGACATGCATTGGACATGCATTGCCATCCCTAGAGCCCCTGTGTTATCAGGGGAGAACAGAGGTATGGCAGGCTGGTAGCTTTGAAGGGTACAATCCATTGGTACGAGAGAATATTTGATCTACATGCCAGAGTTTATTTCAACGAGCTACAAAATGAAAAAATAAAAGATGTAATTTCAGAGCTGTGCACTTCCAACTGATTTGAAAACGGCAATGGCTATTGATTTGGTCTCCAAGATGCGAGCTCGGTGTATTATGCAACAGGCCCTGAAGATGGATTTGGCCGATCTTTTTGTCTCGTTGCCCTCGTTTCTTCCCAGCACACGATTGGTCTGGATGGTTTGAGGTGAGCCAAACAAAGCGAGTGGAGGCGAGATAGCTGGTAGGAATCGTTGTTGACATAGTCCTGATACCTCCCTGCGCGCGCTCAAAGGCCGACTCCGATCTGCTGCCTGTTTCTAAATAGCCTGTTGTGAATTTACCAAAAATAAACTGGAACATTAATCTCTGATTAATAGCACCATATGTAAATTCCCCCAACTAGTTGAAACACTTGTCGTTGACTGTATAAAATTAGTGCAATTATCTCCATCTTGACCTCTCGGCAGCCAACATTTTACCATTACTGCCGGTTCTGTTTGCTGTGTCGTCACTTTGGACTTTCAGATTTGCATCTTACATTTGCCTCGTGGTCTTTTAAGTGGGACGAAGGGTCATGAACAGAAACAAATATGAGAATTTGCAGTGTTCTGCTCTGTTTCCTCCTATATGTCCTTCCCCACAGCACCTTTTGATCTTCTCACCTTGTTCCCCTTATAATCTCTTTCCTCCCCTTCTGCTCGTCTCCCTCGCTCTCTTTCAGCCGACTGTTGTCAGATATTTGTCAGTCAGCAGGTCCGGGTCAGAGCAACTGGTAGATAAACCAATCGCAGTAACATTTGGGCCACAACAGCAGCCCAGCAACTAAAAGCTTTTCTATTGAGCCACAAACACTTAGCGGAGCGACGGACACACGAGAGAGAGGGAACAATAGAGTCAGGAGGGGGAAGAACGAGGCAGAGCTGCACATTTGTTCCGAGCCGTGTTGTGGTCACTCTGTCAATGAGCAACGAGGGAGATCCACGGCTTTTTCCAAGAAAAGTAATCTTGGTGCTGCAGCGTGGCCACGATGCAGATTCCAACCGCTGATAGAAATGCAGTGTGTGTGTGTGTGTGTGTGTGTGTGTGTGTGGACTTTGAGCTTAGCAAACGTCCTGTTTTGTGATCCGCAGACGAAAGACACGCTTAACATACAAATCAAATATGCCAACCGTGGACATGGAGATGCACACAGTCGGTTTGTCTTAGCAACTTAAGCAGGGTGGGGGGAATAATATCTTAATATCAAGGTTCTACAGAAGCCCACCCAGAAAGTACCTGTACTTTGAGAAACTAGTTTTTGGTGTAGAAAGGTCGACAGTCAAAGACAGTTAGTTTAAAGTCAGGCCTATTTGTGAGTCAATGTCTCCTTGAACTGGTCCCCAAGGTACTCGCGGCCCCTCACAAGGTTCCTTCCAAGTGAGAAGGGGCTTAGGATACACACTCACACACACACACACACACACACACACACTCACTCACACACACACTGAATGATGCCGCACACACAAGCTGTCATACACAAATACACTTTCCCCAGTATGCTAACGTGTGTCAGGGGCACATGGTGTGAAACATGCTGACAGGACAAGGTGACGTAGTCAGCACAGTCATCCATCAATATGAAGGGAACACACACACACACACACACACACACACACACCGTAGTCGAGCAGTCTCTTAAATTACACCCTCTGTGAGAACACACACCGATTTGTGTCAGTTCCTGAATTCGTTACCATGCCGACGGGTCAGTCAATTCTCCACAGAGCAAAGCAACGCAACAGAGCTCCCTGTTACTACGGTAACCCGCAACTGGGAGCTCTGCGATTGGCTGTCGGGGGTGGTGGGAGTGGGTGGTGGGGGGGGGGGTGTAGCTACGGCGAGGAGAAAATGGAGAGAATGCAGAGGGAGCGGCAAAGAGCAAAAAGCTGAGGACTGTGCAAAGCTGATAGAGTGTGAGAGCTAAACTGAACACACACACACACACGGATCTGACAAATTTAATCTCTGTATAGTGAGAGACGCGAGTGCTGAGGCTCACGGGGAGCCTGGCAGCTACGAGTGGGCCGTCAGCGTCGTGTCACACACACACAAGACACCTGAACACGGGGTGTTTTGAGTAAGTGTCTTCATGGTTGTCTCGGCAAGTTTGGGAGTGTGAGCGCTGCTGCTAGACGGGGCTCCGCTCATGCTGGCTGAACAAAACCCCCAAAAGATATTCCAGGGTCTCTGTGGAGGGTGATGGCAAGAAACTGGTGTAGAATAGAGGAAAGGCTACTTAACCTAACTCAGTGGAGGTAGCAGCAGAAACATGAACTACCAGACAACAAGTATCACATCTGGCAGTTTTAACTAGCTGATGTCTCTGGCACTCAGCAGGAGCAACATGGCTTCCAATAGAAGTGGGAGTGATGATGCTGCTCGTCAGATACCGTTGATGTTGTTTTTTTTATCTCGGGCCATTTTAAAAGCAATCAGCCGGCTGGCCGTGGTGGCTTCACACTCTCACAGCCCGGCATTGTGGATGCACCGCGTTCACCTCGGCCTCCGTCACAAGTCGTGCCAGCGGACAGCGCGGAGTGACACTCTGCTGTGAAGTATCCACATGTTGCACACAAACTGATCATCAAAGGCTCTCGTGAAGAAGACCAGTGTGAAGAGATACTTGGCACATTCACCTGAAATCTGTTCTGTGTGTGTGTGTGTGTGTGTGTGTGTGTGTGTGTCTCTTACCTTGACTGTAAGTGTTCCAATTGTACCTGCAGGTTCTCAGTCTGCTCCACCTGCTCATCCAGAGACCTCTGCAGCTTCCTGGTCTGGTTATGCGACTCATCCAGCTGGACACACGGTAACATGCTTATTTGTCAGACGGGCAATCTCACACCCGCCTCACTGAAATAGGAATTGAGGTGGGCGGCTTCTGGGTCGTCCGAAGGGTAAAACCTGATATTTTGAATCCTGCCTGTATTGTCTGAGGAAGTAGAATCACATTGCATCTGGCAGATAAACCACATGCTGAATGAACACCTAGTTTTCTGGCAATCTTGATCGGGCTACGTCCTGTTTACGTCTTGTCAGAATTAGAAGAGAGCTGCTTTGTGTCTTTGTGTCGGTGATTGGTGGCGCTTTGGTTCGGTGGAATAGTCCGAGCGCTTTTGAAACTAGGAATGCGTGCACACGTGGCCCTACCTCGTCCTCCGCTTGTCCCAACTCCTTCTTGAGCTCCTCCACCCTCAGCCGCAGCTTCTTGACCTCAGCCTCGTGGCTCTCCACCCGTCGGTTGGCGTGGGCGAGCTCCACTGTCTTCTCCTGGAACTGCTTCTTCAGCTTAGCGTGAACATGGCGAAGGTCGGCGAGCTCCTGAGGACGCAGCACACACAGACGGCGAGGGCCGTTTCAGAGACTCACAGTCGCAGAGCGGAGATTTTTTTTGGACCTCCGGCTCATGTTCTACTTAGAAATATCGGCTATCGTTTGAGTGAAAGGGATTCATATCAAGACAACTAAGTCCAACGTGAGCACCGGAGGGGACTTGACGGGATTTGAAGTCATTGTCATGGAAATATAAACCTTTCTCTGGAAAGGAAAAACTGACCAGGTCTGCTGAAGAAAGCAAAAGAACATGTTGAAAGGATCACTTTACATGTGAGGAGAGTCTGTTAATAACATTAGTAGCATGTATCCTAAGTATAAAACCAAGGAAAAAGTAGGTTTAGAATGTACTTAGTGAGATATTTTACACTTTTTAGTGTCCGATCATTGTGTTGTCCAGTGAACCTCTTCCGATAAAATAAAAAAAGGCAAACTTCTGCATCCTGATCTCCAGGCACCTGCAGCTAGCAAACAGCCTGCAGTTGGTCCTTCGGGGCCAGAGTGTTGAACGTGGCTATTAGCTTGTGTTCCAAAGAAGCTTTTCTCATCTACGTATCAGGCTGCAGTTCTCCCTCCTCGTGGTTGCGGTCGGGTCGGAGCCAACAGACAAAGGCTCCACTTCACAGGCGCTTTAGATCCTAGGACGAGCCGGTGGAGGTCTGCACTGCCGCAGCTAATGGCCTCGTTAATAATGAGCGGTTGTCGCTCACTGCGCTTCCACGGACTCGGTCTCGGTCTCCGCTGAGCGAAGTTAAGGGCCCCCCAGACAGGAAAGCTTCTCCGCGCACGTGCAACCATGCGATTTAGAGAACAGAGAGATATCTACAGGAACAATAAAACCTTTGGCCTTTAAGACGGAGTGCCCCTCACTTATTTATTTATTTATCAATATGTGTATTCGATCCATCATTTATTTGTGTTACTGCTTCCATCCATCAACACAGAATGAGCTTGAGCTTGAGTTTTTTCCTGTTGTTGTTGGATTTGATTAGAAAAACTAACCGGTGCCCTGTGTGCTCAAATAATTACAAATTCCTTTAAACACAGACCCTTCCCCGGCTCCCGCACCTCCACCCACCGCCCCTCACCCTTTGCATATTCAGCTGATAATGAAGGCCGACTGTCTGAATGCTACAAAACACTGTAACCCTAGAGCCAGATCAAACAAAGAGAGCGGCAGGGTGATGCAGAGGGGAATAATTAAAGAGAGGGGGGGGGGGGGGTCTTGGAGACTGTGATGAGAGGATGAGGAGACAGATGAGGAGGGGGTCGGGGGGGTAATTGGAAAGGTGGTATTTCATAGGATAATAAAAAGTGAGCAGGAGAACAAAGAGGAGAGACACAGGGAGCAGCCACAAAGAAGCAGATCACGTGACACGTTATGCTTCGGTCGAGTCGAGCAACGACCAATATTCTGGGTTTCTCTTATTGTCAAAAATACCATGTTACGCTGTCTTCTAAATTATTACTTTCCCAAAACAGCAGGTCACTGTAGTTGTTTTTAAACGGGAGGAAATAGTGCTTATGTGGGGGACTATTTTAGCGGTGGATGAATACATATTTGGTGCAGTCAGAGGATTTTTATTCAGAATATCAACCACCTTTTCTTTTAAAACAATAGACCATTTTATGGAATTTTCATAGTCAACTAAATATCTAAGCAGATAAATTAATAATGAATTAAATATACAATTATATAAATATAGTTAAGACATACATTTGTTATTGTACTGTGCACAATGTGAAAAATAGGCCATCTTTTGGATTTGAATTGCTTCCTGCGTTCGGTGCGTCCCTCGCTGAGCGGCAGTTATGCAAACACCTTCGTCCCAAACCCGTTTTCTGTGGTGACGACGTGCATTACAGAAACAAGATGCATCGTGGTGTCGCTAGTACGCTTACGTATTTTACTGGGTTGCATCAACGCGTTCCCTTTAGACTCCGCTCTCTTGGACAACACGACTTCCCAAATGAGCCACTTTCCTGATAAATGGGACACCTGGAAAAAGGCTGCCCACCATGATTTATGAGCCAAATAAAAAACAACAACATTTTGATCAATAAGAGTAAACCTTAGATATAATACAGATATCTCAGACATCGGCCTCTGAGAAGCAGGGTTCCTACTTTTGGGTCAGGATCGACTATTCTACAAAGATCTTCCAATGAATGTGTGACAGGGAGGGAGGGGGAGGGGTCCCCGAATTAAACATAAACATGAAGCATTACTGAATGATTTGTGAGCGTGAATATGAGCCTTCATGCCTCGCACATGTACAAGTGTGCGTGCATCCAAACGTGTGTGGTGTGTGTGTGTTTGTACTCTATCATGGGTTTGGTTATTTGTACCAAATCTGTGTCTGTGTGCTCACACACAGAAGCACAATTATGTGTGCGTTACTGTACACGTGTGTGTGTGTGTGTGTGTTACGCCACACTGCCTGTTAAATGTTTCTCCTTGACTGGAGAGACCCTGAAGTCTGCTGCTGCATCTGTTCCTCTAAAACAAAAAGACACAAATAAAACCACAGGCTTCTGCACAGATATATAACATATGCTCCTATTGACTCGAGAGGAAAAAAAAGCTGTGTAAGTCATGTGAGGAAAATAAAAATGAAAAACAGAAAATCGATGTGAAAATAACTGACATTAGTTATTTCTGCAGTTGGTACATAACTGCGCCTCATTAACGACACACTTGCGTATTCCTGCACGCACACACACACACACATGATCTCCCTTCCCCCCTCTGCCATACTGAATTCAGCATTTATTCAGACAGTGAAGTCTCTCTTCTGTGCACGCGCGCACACTAACACAGACACACACACACATGGCGAATAGCCCAATTCTGTTTGTAATCAGGGCGACCCTGGAAGGATGCAGTGGGGGAGGGACTCGTGGGTATTGCACCGCCCTGATTGGTGAGAGAGGTTCAACTCAATAAACGTCAAGGAAGACAATGACAGCAGACGGAGATAAGACAGAACAGGGGAGAGAAAGATTAGAGGTGGGATTGTATTTGTGAATAAAGATCATCACATGCTGAGTATGAAAGCATGTACAGTAAATTACTGCATAGTAAACCCATGTTTGTGTGCATGCTCACGACCAGTAACAATTACTGTGTCCTGCAGCACCTGTATGTGAGGATCTGGGTCGGCATTTAGTTCCTATGACTACCTCTGTGAATCCGCATGAGGTCATTTTCATTCCTCTATGCATTCCATCAAAAAGGTTCAACATCTGTGCTGCAACTTAAAAAGGAGACGTAAGGTGGCAGGGAGTCCCTAACCCATGAGCACCCCAGAATGTGACCGAATGAATCCTGCAGAAGTGTCTCCTACTTCCCCACCCTGCGCTAACCGGACACACAGAGGCACACCTGTTTGCACCCCTCTTTCCACGACAACATGCAGACTCTCCTCTCCTCTGCTGACATGCGGGGAAACATGCAAACTCCACACAGACGGCTCAGTGCCGAACACACTGCAGCGCTCCGGGTACAACAAGCTTAGAGGGAATAAATGTTGGCCAAAAGCGACGCCACTTTGAGTTCAACACTGGGTTATTCACACCCGGCTCTTTTGACGCCATGCTGGTTGCTCCTGCGTCTTTTGGGATTTTTGGTCCCTCACCTCCCATTCTCTCCTTTTTGATCTGTGTCTTCTTCGGCGTACTCCAACCCCTAACCTCTTAAATTAAACGTAACACCTGGAATAATGACCCTTTCTCTCCACTTGCTTTCTAACTGCAGCATTAGATAAACCTGAGAGCTTCATAAATAACTCATGGAGGCCCTTACATTGACCAACACATACACACACACACACCTGCTGGTGCGCGGGTTTAGGAAGGCCAAAGCTGCTGCCATGAGACGGCGACCTCCAGAAAAACCTCGGGTCAACGCGGGTCATCCCGTAGCATGAGGTAGATCGGCTCCTACGACGGCGTCATACCTCAGGAGACTGAACCTGACCATCTTCTTCCTGCCAGCGAGGTGCATGCTGGGTAAACGTCCCGGCCTGGTGGCATTTGGTGTCATAACAAGACATCTACTCACATGTCCTTGAATCTCCAGGTCCAGACGCACACAATACCAAATGTGTAAACCGGCTTTATGAGAGACTCACTTACCTATAAAGCCCTATGGATGTTTAGATATGACAAATACAATATTATAAAATATTTAGTACGTGAATAACACAAAATAAATAAAACTATCTAATAAAAGTGTCAGTAGTAACCGACCCTCGTGTGACTCCACATGGAGGTGCAATGGTTCCCCCGTCAGTCGCCTTGTGAGGCGCAAAACAAACTTAAACGGATTGAGATTGAACCCATTTGTCGGTTTGTTTGTTAGTTGGTGGTCCCAGGTCGCTTCGAGCAGCTCCTTTGGCCGGCGGGTGTCGTTAAAATGAATGCAGTTTTTAGCTCTTTTTATTCTCAACGCTCAATCGATCCTTTGAACACATTCTGTTCACAGCTATTGCAACTTCCCTTTCGTCAAATAAAAAACAGGGCTCGGTGGATTTGTGGGAATGAAAAACTGTCACAAAGTCGTTTCGGCTCTGTCGAGAGTAATGCATCACATGGTTTGAGCGCTGCCTATTTCACTCTGTTAATATTCTGGAGTATATTAACTCCTTTGGGACAAGTGATCGGCAGTACAGATACTGACCGATTTTCTGGCTCCATAGTCGTCCAAAGAGAAATATTGCTCCCATTTTTCACAAGCAAGAAATCCTTCACACTGGAATGGCGTTTCTTTGAACATGGAAATCGGGAGAAAATCTCTCTCTCTCTCTCTCTGTCTCTCTCTGTCTCTCTCTCTCTCTCTCTCTCTCAGCAACACGCTTAATAATTCCATCTGTGTCTCTCATCACGTAATGCTGGGACCAAATCCCATATGAAATAAGTTTGACTAAAATTACCAAACCATTGTTTCCGTTTGACCCAATTGAGTTTTGAGTTGCTGAAGAACAATAATGACCAAGTGGGACTAACGAGCGTCGTCCCCGGAAAGAGAAAACTAAACCTAAAATAGAAAACAAAACACTGCTTTCCCTCCAAAACGTGTCCATGCCACACAATGTGGTGTGTGTGTGTGTGTGTGTGTTGTGTGCTTTTGCCAATGTCATATATCAGACAAGACCTGAGCTCTCACACGCACGCACGCACACACACACATTTCATCGACCACCAGCCGATACCATTGGTCAAACACAAACAATGTCCACACAACACACACATTTCTGCACCCTCACCTCTTATTACTCTGGGTTTTTCCGTGTGTGTCTGTGTGCGTTTGCACGAACGAGCGTTGCAGTGTGACAGTGAACATCAATCTGTGCGGAGAAAGTGAAGCCCAAAGCCCAGGCTGAGGTTGAAGATGATTCTGCTATCAATCAACCTGCGTGTGTGCGTGTGTGTGTGTGTGTGTGTGTCCAGTGTCTTAATCCCTTGCCCTGTTTCTCCTTCTGTGTCCAGATCAATACCGTGGTTTCAACACAATACACAAAATACAATCAATCAACCTCTCTCTTTCTCTGTTCTCACACACACTTTGGGGCGATGCATAGAGATGTGTGTGTATTGGTGTAGGGATGTTACAAATGTCATGGTATCATGAGAGCCAACAGAAAAGATCCCAAACAACAGCAGCATACATGAAAACGACAGAGGTTGATGAGTTGTACTCGTGGATAGAACGCAGGACTGTCGTGCTCACCTTGTTCCGCTCAAACAGCTCGCTCTGGATGGCCTTGAGGTCGGTGTCGAGCGCCGAGGCGGCCTGCCGCCGCTTCTTGGACAGTTGCTCCTCCAGGTCTTCGGCCTGAGCCCTCAGCTTCTTGTTGTCCCTCTCCAGGGCCAGCTTCTCCGTCTCCAGGCGCTCCCTGCGCCCCCACTCTGCCGCGTTCTCCACCTGCAGCCTCTCCATCTGGCGGAGACACGCGAGCCGCTTTTTCCACTCTGGGCATTTCACAATGCACTCAGTGTGTGATTTAAGATGGTTGGAGCCCCCCCCCCCCCTCCCCTTCCCCGCCCCCTCTCCCATCTCCTCACCTCAGCTCGCAGCTCAGCCAGTTTCTTGTCCATGCTGGTCCGGGCTCCCAGTTCGTCCTCCAGGTCTTCAGATATGCGGCCCAGTTCGTCCTGATGCATTTCCCTCAGCAGGTTCAGCTACATGTTGTAAGGCAGAGTGGGGGGGTGTAAAAGGTAACTTCTGATTCCCCCCAGATGCCTATTGGGGACATTTATTGGTCCAGTATGGAAGGAGAAGCCTGCAGGTGTACGTTAGTCTTGTGCATCAGTCCTGGTCGGAAGGCTCAGGCTGATTGAGTGTGTGAAAACATCATGGTAACAATCCGACAGAGAAATAAACCTTCCTGGCTGGTGTGTTATTGTGTCATGTGACTTGTTGGAGAGAGCGGTGCAGGTCTTTTCAGAGTTGGTTGTTTAATATTGAGCCGATTCAGATAATGTGGTGGGATTAAACTGACTTTATCAAGATCTAGGTAACGACAAAAGGCTGTTATTTCTCAGTAGGGTTCTTTCCATGATGTGGTCACACACACTCAGTCTCGAGTACTTGAATAGAGCAGTGAAGAACCACGTCATTATTGTCTAAGCACACTGCACGCTGCTTAATTCACAGGGTTAACTGACTGATAACAGCAGTGGGAACCAACTCTTTATGTCCTCACTTTAATGCAAAGTTGAACCTGAGGCCACATGAGCAGAGACAGAACCAAGGTCTCTTTTTCATTCTTTTGTAATCTACTGATTTATGTATATCTGAATCCCTCTTTTCACCTTTGTGTCTCTTTAACTCGGCCAAAAGCACTTTAATCAGTCACTAGGAAACTGAGATTGAACCTTTTCAGGTTGCATATCCCTGCTGCCAATGGTAACAGTGGGGCTCATTCAACATCTCCACAAAAGCTTTCCTTCAGACTTTGCAATAGCTAAACGTTTAGCGTCATCTACACTGTAGTCAGGAGAGACGCTCCTGTTCCCGTCTGTACGCAAAAAGCCATTTCAGGAGCCAAACATCCGCTGTGATCTTGAGGTGTCCAGGACAACAAGCGTGCAGATAAGGCTGACCGGGCCTCCTTTGCCTCCCTCCTCGTCCTTATCGTATCTCTGGCCGTGTCGCATCCACCTTCGGGCACTTCATCCTATCCTGCTGTCATCTCCATCTCTTCTATCGCGCGCTCATCTTTATGAACACCAACCGTTCGCTCATCTCTACATCCCTCACATGTCTAGGCCCACACGCCCTCCTTTTCCCTTTCCTTTGCTGCTATCAGATGCTTATCAAACTGGGAGTGAGTCTTCCCATGCGACCTGTGCCGCCCCCTTGAGTGTCTGGCGTCTTCAAGGCGCTGGCGCCATCTTGTGTTAAGCAGCCAACAAATCTGTGAGTCGACGAGAGCTGCGACGACGAGAAAGTCAGCACATCATTTTATGCAGCGAGGAGATCACAAACGTTCAGGCGAATGCATCCGAGGCCTAGATTATGAAAGTAACGGTATGAGTAGCGTTCCGCACACGGCCCTCTGGTCCAGCCATGAAAAGCCACCGTCTGTCTGCAGCCGGGGGGGGCGGCGCAGCTCAGTACGGAAAAAGGACCGCCGACTTTGATAAAAAGTTCAGCCCAATATCTAATGCCACACGGGACCTCGTGCAAGAACATTTTGTTATTCTCATCTCCACACTCTCTTGGTAAAGTGAGATGATACAAGCGTATGTTGCAAGCGGTTGTAAATAAGCATCATTGGCCCATCAAAATATGTCCTCTGTAACATACGTCCTGCCTGAAGCAAAATCTGTCATTTATAACAGCAGCAGAACTAATGGACCTGCTAAAGACGCGGATTGTGGAGAAATAATGAGTTCTGTTCACCTGATGTTCCACCTGACCGGAATAAATTAGGGCCGTCAATGATTGCAATGAATGCAACTGATATTGTGGCATGACAAGCCAATTTAAATGCATGATGAATTGTCATATTATTGTTATGCGAAGAAATTCAGAATTATATTGGAATTAGAATTGCAGAGTGATGACGTCATATCATTATGACGCGTAATCCAAACTTCAAATCTCAAACTCAAAACTACCTGAAAGTAATGAAATGAGTGAAAAAGCTGAGCTCGGATAACAGCACAGCACTCGTGGCCCAAGAAATGTCAAAATACAGAAGAAGGTCAATGTGAAAAGTTCTCCTACATCCAGAGACTAAGGAATGGATCTTAAAGGTGCGGCTTCTTCGCTGATCCTCAGAGAACTATGCACATCTGGAAGAACTCCTGCTGTGCTGATTCTTGGCGCCCACCGACGTGCACTGAGAAGTCCTCTGTGTTAAATGAGCGCCGGTTTGTTTAAGAAAACGCGTTCCAAATCTCAGAGAGCACTAAAGTCCGGCCAAAACTGAAACAAAGGCCCCCGTCCAGATGCCGACGGGTGAAAACCGTCTCCCTCCAACATTAACGGTTTCAGAGCTCCCATCGCACACAAATTGAACCAATGGTGTGCGGCCTGTGCTTGATGTGCTGCTCTGAGCTGAACGCATTCAACATGTCGTCATTGTTCGAGCCATCAGCACGGCCGAGGAGCTGATGGAGTCAGCCTCCGTCCACAGGAAGGATGCCGAGGTGGTGCACTCCTTTACCCTTCGTCCAAAAGAATTCAACCCAGTGGAACATTAATGGTTCGATCCCTGTAGGTTTTATCCATCATTCAACCACCTCACAGCGCGTCACTTGAAATCACGTTTGGGAAAAAGGCGCAAAATCGGCGGAGGCGAGCGGGTTTTATGACACCGTTGATACCTCTAAGTGAAGGCCGGCCGACTTTAGGGTTAAGCAGACCTCACGGTGGTGGTGGTCTCACCTGTTTGAGGGTCTCCTGTTTGGTCTTGCTGAGCTCCTCGTATTTCATCTTCCACTGAGTGAGTTCGCCCTCCAGCCTCTCGATGCTCTTGCCCAGCGCCAGCTTGTCTCTGGGGAGGGTGTGTGTGGTGGGGGGGGGGGGGGGGGGGGCCACAAGAACACAAACACCTCATCACGCGGCTCTTGGGGCAGAAGGGGTTATTATTTCCGTCGCGCAACGCTTTTTTAAAAAAAATGGGAGTTTTTCAATTTTTCCCGCGCCTGTTGGCCAAATAAAACCTTGTCCCCCCAAGCCCCCGCCCCCCTGTTAGGCCCCCATTTTTGCACCGGGCTCACATTTTTATGCTCTCTCGCGCGTCTCCGGGGCGAAAAAGCTTCCCCCGGGAATCCCATTGTAGGTGGGGGGGGAAATTCTCCTCCCCCGGGAAGGCCGTTACTTTGACTGAGTGTAGAGTGAGCAGCGTGCGGCCACACTGGTCCTCACGGGTTGGTAACGCGACAACTATGTAATAAAGGAGGAAACACTTTCAGGGCAAAGCCACGCAGCACGAGGAGCCTCCACTGAATCGCTCAGATCTTTCACTCTTGTTTTAAAGGGATAGAACCGGGGACTGTAAACTGTAAAAGAAGCGGAATGGTCAAATTGAAGCAGCAGACAACGGGATATCCTGACCAGGCGGCACCGGTTCTGAAGGAAGCCGAGCCGATGCGAAGTGGCTCTTCGGCGTGCCTTCACTGTAGCGACCAGCAGGGGGCGACTCATCTGGTTGTATAGGAAATGACCCTACTTCTCTCTTTTACTTCTCTATTTATTGTCTCAGTAAACATTGTAAACATGAGTTTATGGTCTCAATCCCTAGCTTCACATCTTCTTCCATATGATGGTCCACTAATAGTCAAACGGACCATAAAGCAGGGTGTGCTTTAGGGAAAGGACTTCCCCACCAGAGCCCAGTATTCCTAATATGCTCAATTCTTCTAACCGGTTGCAAAAAACGCGGTGGCGGCGAAAGGGCGGAACTAAAGGCTTAAAAACGGCAGTTTATCAACCAATGGGTGACTTCACAATGACCACCTCCTCTTCCTATATACAGCAGTCTGATCCGTACAGCTTTTCCCATAATGCAACAATGAGCCTTCTAGTGGAACATATGTTGGCTAGCTTTAAAGCAGAATGACCTTTTGTGGGTTAAATAATAATCTGCCACATAGTTAGCAGCTAAGCATGGATGCGCGCTTCATTTATAAGCTCCAGGGTTTTTGGTCTCTCTTACTCTCTCTCTTTCAGCAGGACCTTCTGGGACTCGTCCAGCCGGAGCTGCAGGGCGTTGAGTTTGCCGGAGTCTTCCTCCACCGCGCCCACGTCCTCCCACAGCTGCCTGCTGCGCTCCTGCCGGCTCAGTCCGGACGAGGAGCGCGAGGTGGACGCGTTGACACCGCCGCGGCTTTCCCACGCCTCCTGAGGGTCAGCGTCCGCGGCCCTGGAACGCAGGACCGACTCCAGCACCTCAAAGTCCTGAGGGAGAAGATGATCTAAGCTTTATGCCGGCGTAACGCTGGAGATCAGACATCGAGGTCGGCACACCTCAAGAGTCCAACGGGGCGAGAAGCACAAGCACACGAGTTTCAGGGGAGTTGAGATTGTATCTACTAAAGATTACTTTAAACCAACAGATATTATTTGTGTTTATTTAATACTGGGAAACAGTTCATAAGTTAAAAAAAGACACATTTTACAAAATACTGTAAGAAAAAATGTACAACATATATAAAAGAGCTGAGCAGGTATTGAAGCTGTTGTTCTGTGCTAAATATTTTGGGGAAGATTTGCAAAAGTTGAACGTATTAATAGAATATGTGCAGAGATATTAGTGCATAAGATGAGTGTTAATGTAACGTATAGAGCAGCAACATCTTCCTACCAACATCCAGTGGACATTGAATGATCCAGAGCCATAAAGCTGCTGTTAGAAAGCTGCAAATCAAAGACACAAAGGGATGAAAACCCAAAGTGCTACGATGAAGTATTATGGCCGCGGTGTGATCCGGAATACTAACGTAGCAGACTACAGGTGGCTTTTCATTTTAAATATCATGAACGTATTCTCATTACATTACGCCTTCATCTTTGTAATATCACGATTACTAATAACACTTGTTCGGTGAGATCAGAACAGAAATATTGCGATTTGAAGAGGTTACTCCCTGAAACATAAGACATAAGTGGAGGGCGGGAACATCTGGCCTTCACGTGCTGACTCAGCAGCATTGGCATTAAATGAAAGGTCCTTCGCACTTCCTCGCTGCAGTGTATTACATTGCATCCTTACATTCTGGATGGCCGCGTTGCCGACATGAATAGGTGCACAAATACAGCAGAATCACCTGTTGACAAAAGCAATGAGTGCGCCTGAGAATCAGAATTTCTTTTAAAAAAAATGTCTCTTTTATTTGAATCGTTTATACCAAAGCCTCTTTAAAGGTTTTCCAGCAGCTCTCTCCACCAATGAACAAGCACAGTCATTGTGGATATAAATACGATTGTAAATCTGAGGAGAATATCAGGTTATATGAGTGTGTGAGTGTGTTTACTAGCCGTTTCTAACTCCATAATGTCCCAACCTCCACAATCCATAACTCCCGAGTCATGAGCCGGGGATAAAAAGCTTCCTCTGGGTTTCAAGTTGTCGGTATCATTACGACCGGTACCTCGTGCACTGACTCATGTGGACAGTCCTGATTTTGAAGGGGTTATTAGAAATATGAGCCTTATTCGCAGCCCTAATTCTCTCCTCTGTCCTGTCCCCCCACACAAATCAACCGGCTCCGGCCAGCAGATCATCTCGGAGGTTCCTGCCAACAAGAACCCCAAAAAAACTCTTCCGACCGCACATTTCACATGTCGTTTATATTTAATGGGCTTTGCAGATATTAAACTGGAAACTTAGAGCTTGTCCTCCTCTCCACGTCGTTAATCTGTCGTTTTTGGCGCCGTGACAGCAAAAATCCAAGTGTTTCCTCACCCTTCATCCTTCACAGCATTGCCAGATGTTAACGCCAGGTCTGCGGCTTCAGAGGCTGCAAAAGGCTGCGTGGTTTTCTCGAAATAAACACTTCTAAAACAGAAATATCCCAGCACGTGGTTACATGCTTGTTTCAATAAGGCGTTTGGCATGATGATTGGTTATAGGGAGTCACTGTACAGTGGACAAACACTTTTCATCTTCTATAGAATCGACGTCTGACACCTAGTGTTCGCTATTCAGACCCTACTTGACTTAATCCGGTCTGACTGTGAAGATCTCTACATCGGGGACACAGAAAGGATGAATGGACCCCGGGAAGTAAGCAGCATCAACTGTCCAACCAAAAGAGAGGGAAAAAGGTCAAAGGTCATTGACCAGGTGTCAGTGGTCAAAAGATTTTTACGTGTAAAATTGCCAGTGTTGACAGAGACCCCCGATTAGTCAAGACACGTCAATAACAGGTGGAATTCAAATTTCACCTCGGATTGACTGGCGGTTTAAGGATTTTCCGCGTGCCGCTGCGGGAGGAAGGAAGGCGGAGCTGTGCTGCCGCCGCCGTCATTACACGTCCTCCCCAACAGAGGGAGCTGGTGTGTAACAGATGTGAGCCGCACTCCTGTTCTGTCCCACATGTGGAAGCACTCAGTGTGTGTGAGAACCAGAACAATGGACGGGGACAGGAAATGAGGCTTTGCTGTGTGCGGGTTACTGGTTAGCCACACGATCACGGCCGCAGCCTCACTGTGTATTTCGGTGTCGCCGCCGCCTGTGTGTCACCATGGAAACCTCCCTCCTGAGCACGCTGAAGGTCAAGTCTGATTGAGGCAGCGACAGTGATTTTTATTAGCTTATGCACAGGCTCCGTCTTTGTGGGGTCTGTGTGTGTGTGTGTGTGTGTGTGTGTGTGTGTGTGTGTGTGTGTGATGGAGGAAGGGGGGATCGAGGAGCCCATCAGTGCTTCAGACACTGGAGAAAATATAAGAGGTCAAAGCAGTGTTGTCAGATGGCAATCGGTTTATTGCCATCTGCTGGTATTGACATTCATTATGATATTTAAGAAAGGAAATATTGATATCATGTTATTCATAATACCTTATTCAGATAGGAGGCCACTTCAATCCGACCCTGACCTGTAGGCTACGGACCGACACGCTCCGGGTCCACAGAATAAGATCGGAGGAATCGAGCGGGCGAAATGAGCTCCCTTCGTAGAGTGTGGGGGGGGGGGGGGGCTCAGTCTTTGTGGTGAGGAGCTGAAACGTCCCGAGGGAGCTGGAAGGCGAGCTGCTGCTTTTTGTCCTGTCTCAAAGGACGCCAAGACGCCTTCTGGACACGTCCCCCTGGAGGTTTTCCAGTTAGGTCCTTCTACAATACAGCATGATGTTCATTTAATTCAATATTGTCCCATTATGAGTCAAACGGAGCATGAATGCTTCAGGGCGGGCTTACTGGGATCGACACAGAGCCGCGTACAGCAGGAAAGTAATGTAAAAAGACAAAACATGGGAAACATCGCCAAGGTCAAAGCTTCGGGTGGACAAAGGCTCCTTCGTGTGAATAGTCCAACTGGGAGGAGAGCAGAACCAGAGAGATCGTATTTCTCATCCAGCCTGGAAACGCATCGGGGTTCACAGAGGAGAGGGATGTCTGAGACGACTATGCCAAGAATGCTGCCCCGGATAAGTGGAGGATAATGGATGGATGTCAAGAACTCAAATACCATCATAGCTTATACATTTATACCGACGCTTTTGTTCAGTTCCTCTCTCTCGGACGGTTCTGTCCGATCTGAGGCGACGGCCTTGCCGCCAGCACTGAATTATCAAAAATAGAAATGTAATCCCACTTCTACAGCTGAGCCGTGGGACAACACCGGCTGTCGGGAGGACGTACAGGACAAAAACGAGAACCTGACCTCTATTACAGCAGATGTTGCAGTCGGAGTGTCCTTTCAGAGGGACACCACAAGACTGATTGTCTCTGACCTTTTATCGGGAGGAAATGTGTCACTCGATACATTTATAGACTGATACTTATTTAAAGGAGCGTTTATGTTCGTGTATTTTATTGTGTTTTCCAATATGTACGAGCCACCCTGACGTGTCGTAGGAGGCGTACGGAGCACAGCTTGACTTGAGTGATACGAGTCCCAGAAGATAGCGTTTTCAGAATGAAACAGATCATTTCAGAGTGAATGGAGCGTCTCGTGTGTCGGTGTGAGCGAGGCTGAGCGAAGCAACAGGCATCCACAAGACCAGATATGCTTTAGGAGCAAAAGAAACCAGGCTGACAGAGAAGAAGGACCGCAGCATCGCAGAGCCCTCAGGGGGAAGACGGAAGGATGAGAACATGTGTGTGTGTGTGTGTGTGTGTGTGTGTGTGTGTGTGTGTGTGTGTGCACCTTAAATAGGACACCTCCCCCCCAAACACACACACACACACACACACTGCCGGTGAGCGATGCAGCAGCGCAGGAGACGCCGTTTGGCCCAGATTCACCGGGCTCGGGTCCCTCTGTGCGCGAGGCAGCAGCGGGGGACGTGAGACATTAGAGAACCAAACGCTCGCACCAAAGATCACACAAGGCATCGCTTTGCAATATTGATTTATCATTTTGACTAGTCCCAGAGAATCACAGTTGATTCAGTAGTCAATACATATACGTAAAAAGCGGAAATGATTTCATCCCAACAGCCGGTTTCGTAGGTTGTGAAGAGATGAATCGAATATGAACTGGCCTCGGTTCCAGAACGATGCATTTGCCCGAAAAAAAAACGGTGCCATGCAGTGGACGCCAGAGAATTTGGGAGCACAACAGATGATCACGAGGAAGGAAATATTTAAATGATTGTCTTTACTGGAACAAGGGAGGAGACTCTGTAAGAGGGTGTGTGTGTTTTTGCTTGTGTTTGTAGATCCGGAGGCAGTGTGATTGTGATAAATATTGATTTGCAGCGCAGAAACATTACTATTGGGACCGAGTTTAAAAATGTCCCTGACCGGCATCTGATTGGGCCGCACTATGAGAGTTCTGATTTAATGTGTTTCCAAACTGAATAGTAAAGAGCCACAAAATACAATCTGATACAAATGTAATTTTGCCGTCCTCTTTGTTTACCTCTCCATGTTCCCACTTGCAACCCCGGTCTTTAAGCTCACTTTGCTCTGAATTGTGGGCAAAGTCTGTATTGACGTGGATTCATGTGAGTGTTTATGAACGCCTGTGAGGGAGCCCTCCAACCACGAATGGATGGATGAATGATTGTGATCTGCGATGGACGAGAATGTCAACCTCACGGCGGCGCTAGAAGAAAGTTCATGTGAGAGAACTTTCTCCAGAGGAGGTTTTCATACTTCGCTCCGAATGATTTAAAGGTGGTTGAGTATGAGAATGTCCTCAGCAGACTCACCTTCTGTTGATGCGATTTCTGTCCGTCCAAGTCCACGTCCCTCACCGGTTCCGGCTCCGGCGACCCCGGCGGCCCCTCCCCCACCCTGCCCGGCTTGCCGTCGGCGTGGACCTGAGAGGAGGTGGAGGTGGGGGAGGAGGGCGGGATGGGCGGAGAGGACGAGGAGGAAGCGTCGCGAGGGTGCGGCGGGGAGGACGGTGGAGAGGGGACGGGCGCGGGAGCAGGGAGGGGAGCAGCGTCGGAGGCGGGGTCGCCGCGGAGGCGCAGCGTCTCCTGCCGCAGGGTCTCGTTCTCCGAGGCCAGTTCCTGGCGCTCCCGCCGCACGCTGGTCAGCTCCTTGGTGAGGGTGTCCAGCCGCTGCCTCAGCTGGCGGACCTCGTCGCGCGCTCGGTTGCGCTCCGCACGGACCTTGAGGAAAAAAACATGTGGCATGGTGTATTTAATAATGCATGATGAGTATTAGCCCAGAACCTTTGGGTTTCTGTGTAGATTATAATCTGTACACATTGTGAATACACAGTTTCAACAAAAGGATCCAGTCATTTATCAGATAGATGGAAACCGGTTTATTGGCTAATCATACAGGAGGTATGGGGGGGACTATTTTAATTCACATTTGGTGTTTTAGATCAGGCTTTAACACACCCGTTATATGTTAGAAGCTATATTCCCTGTTGGTTTAGATCCATGGATAAATATTAAAGAGTCAACATGATATGACATGACATGATACCATTTTTCTGAAATCATAACCGAGTGCTTTAAGGTGTCTTACCACAAATGCTAGTAATTAGAAACTGTAGTTAAACTAAGGTTATGCTTACAAAATAAAATGAAATACACATGAACATAATCTGTGGGTCCAAGCTCACATATTAAATCTCTAGTAAGAACTGCCACCACAAAGTGAGGGTGAAAATAATCCACTCGGCTTTGTACATAAAGCTTTCAACATCCTCACGGTGTTCATTAGCAAGTGGACTTTTAATAATGGTTCCTTTTGTCCTCAACTAGTTCAATATCGAGTAAGTACCCCCCTCTGCTCCATTACCCACCTTGCTCCACTTCTCTCTCCAGTTGGCGGTGCAGTCCGACCACCACCTCATGGTCTTCTCCATCTGGGCCGCCCGGGCGCGAGCCTCCTCCAGCTCCCTGAGCCTCAGCTCCTCCCTGCTCTCCCAGTCGGCCCCGGCTCCGTCGCCCAGAGCGCCCAGGGACCCCAGGCCGAAGCCTCCCAGCCCCGGCGACAGCAGCAGCGGGGGGCTGGAGCTGGGGGTTCCTCCCGTGGGGCTGGGAGTCTGCATGAGGCTGTCCGGGGAGCGGATGCCCCTGTCGGACCCCAGGCCCAGGCTGCACAGCAGGCCGCCCCCGGCGGACTTACCGCCATCGGACAGGTGGGGGCTGGGGGTGTGGTTCATGGTGAGGTGGAGTAGGGTGAAGGATGGAGGGGGGTCGTTCAGGAGAGCGCCATCCTCCTCAGCGCCGGATCAGCCTGCAGACGGGAGAACAGGGAGGGAAGTGAAGCGACTCGGTTATCGGAGGAAACGTTGACATCGGAATCCAGAACGAAAAACATTCAGAATCGATACGACGGTGAAAGAAACTTCGAGAGAAAGTAAATGATCGAAACACACACACGCGGCCACGCGTTTGGGGAGGAAAAGCCCTCGTCAGAAGAAACTTAAAACTTAAAACCAGACACCTGACCCTCTTTCACAGGCTCCTCTCTCCCGCTCTCCTTGGTGAGAGGAGCCACGTTCCCGACCTCACCTGGACCCGGCCCGAGGCAAAATGTGTGAAACACCACCTTCGAGAACCTCCTCCTTGATCCCCCGTCACCATTCTCCCTCCACCCACGGACCTTATGGTTGTTTAATCATTTGATCTTTTTAAACAGTGAGTAATTAATTAAATTGAACTTTAACGTGGATTCTTAAACACGTCTATATATAAAAAGAGGTCACTGGTTTCCTAAATGACCATCAAGATATATTATATCTATTTAATGTATCTATTGAACAAGGCCGTATGTCTCACAGAGTTTAATCCTTTATAGTGTTCCCACAGCGGTCACAGACGGGATCAGGATCTGTTGAGTAATCTCTCCTAGGGGAGCAGTGGGCAAACTCCCCTCTTATCTCTGCAGTCGGGGCCACAGTTTGTAGTTGGAGAAATATACCAGCTCTGGCTGCAGCAAGTAGGCCTCCAACTCTCTGGGCCAAGAAAAGCTCTGCTCCTTCCTGTATTTCTCCTCCTGCTGCCTCCTCCTCTCCTCCCTCCGGGGGAGGCCGGGGGGAGTTCCGCAGGAGATCCAGATCTGTGGGAACGACTCGGAGGAAAAGGGAAGGAGAGGAAGCAGCTTCCTTGATGGAAGGTACAATCACCAAAGCTTTTGTCCATGTTGAGTCCTCGTGTTTAAGAGAACGTCTCGGCCCGTCCCATGGACTGTAATGGAAGCGGACGCAGTCACCATGACCTCTCCCGCCGGTTTGAGGACCGCCCCGCTGCCCTGAGCCTGTCGCCATGTCGGCTTCTTATAGTGCCAGAAGTGGCCGCTGTATTTGGAGCAGCGGCAGCAAACTGTGTAGCCTAATGTGTAATAAGAGCACGGGAGCAGCCGCGGTAATGAACAATGTCCCAATTAAGTTTTTTGGGCTAAATGATAGCATCCCTGCAAAAAATGTAAACGGAGCGATCGATGTGTCTATTTTGAAGAGAAAAAGAGATCCAATCTGTCCAGAACAACAAGTGAGCAGCTGAAGAGGAGCAGGACGAGGGCAAGTGTACATTTTTTGAGGAAATTCTTTAAAACAGAAACAGAAACTAAACCAGAAAACATGATGTCTTTGGTCCCAGCTCCCGTTTCCAAGGAGACAAAACAAAAACTATACTCAACGGTCAACGGATGCATCAAATAATTCTTTGAGGTAGAACAACAAAGAGCGACATGGGAGGTAAAAATTCCCTGGATTATATTTAATCTCTGTATGAACCGCGTTTCAAAATACCTCAGTGACCGACACCACAAAATGAATTGAAATACAGTTCCATCAAATCCTGCATTTTACCGAGGAGCAGCTGTGTTTATAAAGCATTAAAAGGCCCAATGAAATAGATTATGCATAAAAACAAACAATGGAGACCAAACAGATCTCTCTCAATCATCACCACGTGCGCTCTCCTCTTTGGCTGATCGACTACATGCACGTTCTCAGATTATATATCGGATTTAGGTCATTCCGATCTCATTACTTTTTTCACGTAGAACACATTCCAGATGTCATTGCTGTATTATGTTTGCAGTTACAGCATCCCAAAAAATCTATTTCAGCAGGTCTCTGAGACTGTGTTTATTCCACAAAGTGCAGTTACACCACCACAACGTCTAAAGCTAAAGTGGTGGCTGATCTCAATAGAGATCTTTAACGAAGGCAAAGGGAAAGGAGGGGAGAGGCAGTAGAGTGGAGATTCTTTAGCATTCACACTGTAGAGCGGAACAAGTCCTGTGGCCTGCAATTTTCATTAAAGGTCAAATCCTTCAGTGATGTGCATCGCTTTGGGGGGTTTTCTGATACCGGTTCTAAAATGTTATTTTTAAAACTATTCTGGTGCCTAAACTGTGCCTGAACCTATAATTTAAAAAAGCACAAAACGACGACTGAAGACCCTCACCGACCCCCTCCTGGACCCCCTGCAGTTCGCCTACAGAGCCAACAGGTCTGTGGACGATGCTGTCAACATGGCCGTCCACTTCATCCTCCAGCATCTGGACTCCCCAGGAACCTACGCCAGGATCCTGTTTGTGGACTTCAGCTCTGCCGTCAACACCATCATCCCGTCTCTGCCCGACTCCCCCTGCAAGTGGATCACTGATGGGAAGGAAGGGAATATCCTTCTGGGAAATCTATTTTGTACTCAAACAGGCACATTATACATTTCTGCTCATGTCTTGGTGCCAGCCATGACGACCCCCCCCCGCCCCCCGGGTGATAACTCAATGTGCATGACTTCTCCCCACCAGACACACAGGAGACACCGCAGACACGTGACCACCTTCTATCTCAGTGGACACTCACGACGGGTCATGCTGGTAAAGAGCTGTCCCATCGACAGGACGGGCACAACAGACGTGCAGGAGGGTTATCGGGGGCATCGGGCCCACTGTGGGACGGTCGTGCATGTTTTAAAGGGGACCAGTGGCAGGAATGTGGGTGGCTCTGCGTGCCTCTATGGGGCTCGGATCGGGCTCTCCGCTCACAGGATGGGGGCCATTCAGCACCGTGCAGCATGTGAGACCGTGGGGGGTTGCACAACAAAGAAGGGCCCTGATCACGCTGACATGTACACTGCAGGACCCACCGACACCCGCTGACATCTGACCTTTGTCTTCAGCGGGGGAGGTCACACAAAACCAATGACGGAGTCTGCACACGGGGGCAAAAAGAAGTCTGCATGTATAGATTCCTCAATTAATTCATCACCTACCTCCATATTTAAAGAGTTTATGTCAATAAAGCATGATGCTCATTAAGTAAATGATGCTTCCATTTAAAGTAAAGCACCTCATGGAACAGGGTATGCTTTAGGGCGGGGCTGCCTTGTGATTGACAGGCGGCTACTAGACCAAAATATGGTCACTTCTGTTCACTGGCAGCAAAGAAAATCAAGACGGCAAACCGCAGTCCACAAACCGATGGGGGACGTCAACGACTGCTTCCACTGATTATATACAAAACATACAACTGAAATACTGTCTTCAAAGCCACCACACGGACAACAGTCATTTTACCCCGCTGGTTATTGACACACACACATTATATACAAAAACACAGCTCATCTCTGTTACGGTTTCCATTCTCCCAACAAACACAACTCTCTAAAGCCCGGATTCATCGAGTTGGGTGTGAAAAGAAAAAGCAGCTACACCTTCATCTCGTCAGTTTACACCACTCATCATTGTACAAAAAAACACTTCACTCTTACTCACCAGTCACATCTTTATTAGTCTCAGTGCTCTGACAAGAAAAGAGAATGTAAGCACCATAACAGTTTCACTGTCTACCAGCTTGTCCGTGATGTCGATGGCGACACAGTAGACAGAAAAACAACAGGCCAACACATGAAACAAGTCGCAGGCTTTAGAAGCTACATCCACACTAATCGCCTCCATGTAGACGAGCACAACAAACACAGACACACACAAACAGGACCGCCTTCACATCTGGCTGTGTTACAACCCCAAATTGGGGAGTAGGGCATAATAGATGCATAAACACAGGCCTGGCAGAGATAATATGACATTTCTCTTCCTAGGAAGTCACAGTTTTGGTATAGTTCTAAAAAAGAAATAGAAAACGCTAGAAGTTGCCCATGATCAGCACATGGTGCAGCCCATTTGGATACCTTGTTTCAGGACGGCGTCCTACTCATTCAAGGCTATAAAAAAAGATATGACAGTTGATAACCGGGTGCACAAGCAATAAAAGAAAGGGCCCGACGGGCTGGTTGACTGAGGTTAATCATTTACCGATATGACTTGATGACACTTTAATGGACCTAGCAGACAAACAAACAAACATAAATCAGGAGGGAGCGTAAACACGGCAGACAGATGGGGTTTCCCTCCCACACACACACACACACACAGCTGATCTGCATTCAGCTCCACAGCCGATGAGCAGAGGGATACATTTCATATACATGCTAAGGATGGTGTCACAGACTGTTAGCCTGCACTGACTTGCAGTGGAGTCTCTCTGTATACTTTCCTCTGGGAAGGCGTGTGCGGAGCCACGGCCTTTCTGTTTTTGTAGGATGCAAGATTTTTCTCCTCCCCTCAGCACATTTCCGTTGCAGCGTGAGTAGCTTTGTGCGTGCCGGTGCAGCAAGCGGTGTTCGTGTGGAGGAATGGGGGAGCAAACTGAAAGCATCTTTAACGCAATAAACTAAAATGAGCCAATTGTAACACACTGTTTGAGAAAAGAGGCTTTCACAATCCACAGTTGAGGCCATTCTTGTAGTGAGGAGTCCACAAACCAGCAGCAAAACTATCAGAGGGCCGCAGGGTAAAAAACAAAGACGCAACCAGGGAGAACGGGGGCCCTTTACTGGTTTTATTCTGACAACGTGGTATTATTTCTACTGATTGCTGACTGACAACTACAACCAGACAAAGCATGCATGAAAAGGAAATGCCTCCTTGTATACAACGTCTCTGGCTACCCGGTTAACCCTTTCCAAAGCTCCATCCGGCAGCGTGACCGATGTTGCCGACAGAGCATCGGCGCCGCAATTTACTTTTGGTTGATGGCGCTACTTATATTTCGATTATGTATCAAAATGAGCTGCAGCACATCAGAGAATTTTCTTCTCCGCGACCTGAAGGACATCCAAGCGGGTGAGCACAAGAAACAATCAAATACCACAATAGTCAGAAGTCAATGCCTTGATGAGTTGGGATTAATGAAAGGCGTCAGCGAGTCCGATTACATT